TCCGCATTTCGCCCATTATTACACGCTCGGTCGGGCATCGAATTCATTTTTCGACGCTTATTCTCGACGAGCAACAAAATGCAAGGTGATACATATTCGAGCGCGCCGAGTCGGGGCATAATCATCGCCAAGTCTAATCGTTGTTTACGAGATGCGCTCTACGCTGGGCATACCCTTGAAGGATATGGCCGGTTTTCGTGGCTTCGGAAGACCGAGACGAGAACGAGCTGCCTCCCGGCTGTGATAACGGTAAACGAGCGCGCCAACAGCTGCCGCAGTTGCCGATTAGCGCACGACAATGTTGCATGTTTTATGGACGATATCGAGACGTAGATTTCTCAATCGTCCACGAATAGATGTTGCTCGAGTGACTTATACGTGCGGCTCGTGTGTCGAAATATTTGTATTTTTATCGCTCTTGTCAACGGAAGATATTCGAGAGCGCAGCTTTCTTCCCCGCAAACCTCATCCACGTTTTCGCGTATTGCGTAAAAACGATTTCGCAAGCTTCGCCATCGTAGCCGCAAACGATATATATATTTTGCACGCGAGTAGTTTTGATTTTGAAAGCTATTATTAGGAGTGAGTCGGGCACGCGCGTGTTCGTCCCACGTGAAAAGCCAAACCTGCGAGACCATTATTTTTTTTTTCTTTCTTTCTCTCGATTTTGCAACCTTCGTTCCAGCGTTGTCCTGCATACCTGCTCCTTCGCCAATTCACAGCAAGGAAACGTAAAGTCGCCCAATCGAAAACGAACAATAATAATAATAATAATAATAATAATAATAATGATAATAATAATAAAAATAATAATAACAATAATAACAATAATAATAATAGGAAGAAGGTTCGTGCATTAAAACCCGCGTCCATTTGAATATGTATAACCAAGCATATATGCGAGGTCGAAGGCCAAGCGAGCCTACATATTCAACGGGTAGCATCACACACGCGTACATACGTTCGCTTCCGCTAGCACGCAGGCACACGCGCGTTGGCGCGCGGACGACGCCGCACGTATATACATCCTGCGAGCGCTCCTCGCGGATTGACTCGTAATGCCGAATCCTTCTCGTCGGCGAGCTCGCGCAGGATCGAGCCGGCGAGGATGAGCCCGACGAAGCCCGCCGTCGTGGTCGATACCGTGGCCTCTCCCGCTGCGCGCCTGATGCCCCCGCCGTGTACGCCAATGCTGCGTCGACGCGCGCGAGCTTCTTCCGCTGTGCGGACATTTGCGGCTCGCACCACCGACTCGCCAGCGCCGGCATCGTCGTTTCCCGACGATCGTACGCCGTGAGATTGCGATTGGGCGTTACGAACGCAGATGGACGGCGGATCCAAACTGATCGAGGAGGGAAAGCCGCGAGCAAGCCAATCGAGACTCGAATCTTCGCAGATGAAGCTACGGGTTTTCAGCTTGAATGGCATGCAGCCTGGGTTCGCCTATCAGTTTGACTTTGGGAACCAAACGTTCCATGGGTCCCGATAAGTCGACGGGAAGATAGGAAAGAAAGGAAAAAAACGAGATAGCGTTGCATATGCGATGCGGTAATTTGTAAATTCAACTCGGAAACTGACGCAGCACCGCGAGGCGCGGCTTGAAAAATAATTTGCTGGTTGGCAAATCGCGAAAGAGAGAGAGAGAGAGAGAGAGAGAGAGAGAGAGAGAGAGAGAGAGAGAGAGCAATCGAAAGAAATGGCGCGCGGTCGTGGTAGCTGGAAAAAAACAGCGAGAAATAACGAGAGCGCGATGAGCGAGTCCTCGAACCGCCGCCGGGGGGTTATCGGCGCTCTTCCGCGCACGACGACGCCGATGACGAGGGCGCGCCACGGGTCAGCGCCGCCGGCCGCGTAAACAGCCGCGGCTATCTCTATCTCCGCGAGCTTTTTTGCTCTCTCGACGAGCCGTGTAAAGCGCGGCGCGCAACGTCACCGCATCGACCGGCGGGCGGCCGCTTCGCTGCTCTCCTTCCTCCGCGCTCGCTTTTCGAAAGTCCGCGCGCCCGCGCGCGATTACAATCGACCGCGTATCGCCGGCCCGTAACTGCGCCGACGAATGTATACCGAGTGAAATTGCGTGTCGGCCAACGCGAGAATCATTAATCTGCGCGCGCGAGAGGGAGAAAAATTGGCTTTCGAAAGTTTTTAATCGAGAAGCGCACGATAACGGCAAACGCGAAACGAGAACGAAATATAGCTCTCGCTCGCACCTTCGACATTTTCATTACTCTCGCTCGACGCGAGCGCCGCCGGGATCGAGGGATTAATTAAGCCGGCGAAACCATCGCGCTAAATCACTCGAGCGTATCGCTGAAATTTATGAAAGCGTCGCTGTCGATCTTGGACGTCGAAAAATCGACGCTCTCTTTATTTCTTTCCTCTTGCCGGCGCCTGGTTTTCCACGGCCGAAGCGGCGCGGGGGTGTAACGTTCGTTAACGCGAGCGGATCGAGAAAGAACAACGAGAACGTCCCTGCCTTTTTTTTCCATCGAGAGCTCGGAGAACGACACGAGATCGGGCCGCCATTTTGCTGGAGAGCTTGCGATGTCGGTCCATCGGCAGAGAGGGGGATGCTGTGGCTGGGGGGCGTGGGTAGACGTCATCCCCTGCAACTTTTGCGCGCACGCTCGGGCTTCTCCTTCACCACACCTACTCTTGCGCCACGGTGCTTCGGGAGTCCCTGCACGGAAATGTCTCCTCTCCTCGGTTCTATTTCCTCGTCGTTTAACGCGCCTACGCTACTACAAGATTTTCATTTAATTAAAAGAAAAATAAAAGAGACAACTGCTCGCACTGGCATTCGAATCGGGGATTAATGATGTGTACCGCCCCGACATAAAAATCGCATTAACGATATTAAACACGCCTCGGCTACGTGCAGTCGGCTCGAAAAGAGACACCAAAACGAACAGTTAGAGAAAATAAGAAGAAGAAGAAGAAGAAGAAGAAGCAAAAAAAGACAATTGTGCAAATAACTGCACACAATCCCATTAAGCCTCGCGCTCGTCTCCTATATACAGTCGCCCGCAAGCTCATTAAATCCGACCAACTAGACTAGTTAGTCTTCAGTGCGCGACTCGCTCGTAAAAAGCCCAATGCAAAGTCTTTTGGCCGTACTGCAATTTGCAGCCCTTCTCTCCGGCGAGGCACGGAGAGGGGTGAGCGCGAAACGAGGCTACACGCACGCAGACAACAGGCGAAAGACGAGCCCGCGCGAATTTCAATTTTTAATCGCGTTAAGGCATAAAGTCGCGTGTGCGCTCCGACGGGAGCGCTCATTAATTAACTTTATTTTAGCGGGACATGCGATTCGGTATACGTCATGCGCGAGATCGATCGCGCGCGCACGCGCGCTGGCTTTTGCTTCCTTCGTCGTAGCGCGAGTAGCCTAATTTGCCGCAGCTGCGTTGTGTCGCTCGAATGCGGGGAGGCAGGTGAAATATCGAGACGCGCGGCGTGCTCTCGGGGTGGCTGGGCTCTCTTTCTCCTTTCGCTGTCACGGCTAATTGCCTTCGCTTACCAAGTTCTGTTGACGATGGGACACTCGACGAAACGTTTGATTAATTACCGGTACCTTCCGAGCAAATCAGTGAATTGGGACGAACCGTATCGACAATTCCACGACCAAAATTGAAAGAAGTCGCCAGAATTACAATATATAATTATGTCTCTTCGATCGTGAATAAAATTTAACAATTTTGGGCAAAAACGTATGAATTCGCGGCTCTCTCTCGCCATAATCGACAGCTGTTATCTCTGCGCGCCATCGAAAAAATTTTCCCCCAGTGAAATTCAATGTAAGAACGCGCGCAAAAGAGAGAAACGCGCGACGACGCGCCATGCGAGAGGAATTGGGATGAGTGCGCGCTCGAGGCGAGGCGAGGAGGCGACGAGGAGAGAGAGAGAGAGAGAGAGAGAGAGAGAGAGAGAGAGAGAGAGAAACCGGCTGAGCAGGGTGCGGTCTTCCCCGGAATCGATATGTACAACGCGATGACGACCACGACGACGAGGCAAAGCCAACTCGACTCCGATCCCCCTTTTCTCGCGACCAGACTCTCGTTCTATATTCGTCTATAAGCTTCTACATCTTGGAGCTGACGATACCAATGCCTACCGCGCTTTTCTTTCCGATAATTGAAAATTCATCGCTCGTGCCCTGACTTCCGTGTTGAGCATTCGTCTTCTTTTCATGGAAGTTATGTTTGCCCTTCTAAGCTTCTTCACGGGCCTTTTCGTTGGCGCACACTTTACTGGTGGGCTTTCAAACTGAATTAATATCCGTCGCGAGATGTACTTTTTTCTTTACACTTGAATATGAAAGATTGCAGCAATTTTATTACTATTGGCTGCGCATAATACGTTACACTAAATTATACGAATACACGAATTAAAATTATTCAAAGAGCAACAATTAAATAGCTCGGAATGAGATTTTTCAAAATAAAGCTTGACGAAGAAACGAAAGAGAAAACGAATACGCTTCCAAAACGAGCCTATGAAGAATTCCCATCGCGTCGCAAAGGATATCTCTGAATAATATAACTGGAATACGGTTTCACGATTAAACTACTTTCCAAAATCGATGGGACCGAGAATATCGAACACGCATGAGGATTCTTGCTGGAAACATCTCGGCTTTCTCTTACTTACAATTTGATGTTCCGAAATTCTCAGATGATTCTGAAAAAATGATGCACCTTTTTTTAATTAGTTCGTTTTTGAAACGTTTCGTTGGCAGAAGCTTTCACTTTTATCACTCTTTGACAATCAGTATTTACACATTAATAATGATCATATATGAAAGCAATTCAGTTGCAGTGAAAGAGTTATCTTGAATAATTATAAATTAGTTGATCCTGGTGTGTATTTTGTATACACACTCGAATTCTTATTACTATACAAATTTATAATATTAAACTTGACGAGACATGAAAAATAAAATCTTTGAAAAAACTAAAAAGGTAAAAATGAACTTGAAAATCATGAGGTTTGTTCTTAGTAATTAAATCTCTATTTTAAGCACTTTTTTGTACAAATACATTTTTACAAATTCATTCAATCTAAATATAAACACCGTAGGGAGTTTATACAAAAGTCCATTTCATATATGAAAACTAGATTTAGCAAGTGCTGTCACCTTTCAGAAAATACTGAAAATGGCTTTCATGATAAATCAAGAAACGTAATATAAACATTATAAAAGATTACAAACGAATCTATAAACAATTACAAATGTATTAATTACATAAATTATATGAATTGTATTTAAAAGAATCAAATTAAAAATTTGAATTATTACAAAAAGAAAGGTAAATCAACGTAATTCAATTCAAGGCAATTTGTTTAATTTTTGCTGAATAAGCGCAAACTGTCTCTTAATTTCAAAAGCAATAACACCCAATGCCATTCCTGCGTTCAAGCTATCAATCTTATTATCTAAAGGAACATTGACTCTGATTCCTTTGTATTCTGCTACTAAGTTGTAAGAATCTTTGCTTATACCGTGTGTTTCACCACCAACAATTAAAATTATATTTCGTTGTGTATAATCTACAGCATAGTATGGAACCAAAGGAAAATCAGGTTTTATAAATGAAATTTGTCTACTTTTATGCTTATTATTAGTTCTCTGTGATTTTGTTCTTTCATCATCATTTTCTATGTCTTTACCAATGATTTCTTCAAAATCTTCTTCAGATTCTGTTGGATCCTCATCAAAGTTATTAGTGCTATTGTCAGCTACAAAAACGTTAACTTGGTCTTTTATCAATGATTTTATATCAGGCCAATCTATTGGTCCATGAATAGGTATTCTGAAATGTGCTCCTGCTGCACTCCGCAAAACTTTACTATCCCAAAAATCAACGCAACCTGTAAAATGGTGTAAATTAGTATTTCAATATTTCATGATCAATATCAAAATTAAAGATGCCATTTACATAGCTAAAAAAACAAACCTTTTGTTAACACTACTTTATCACATCCAACTCCAGCAGCTGCTCTCAGTATTGAACCCATATTCCCAGGATCTCGAATATTATCACAAATAATTGTAATAGGTAAACAATTTTCAGCTTTGGATTTTGGCTTAGGTTTATCAAATATTCCTGTGAATTTATAAAAGTAGTAGAAGTATTTATTGAGATCTTGAAACATTAAAGAAACTAAGTTTGTTAAACTTACCCATGACACCAGGTGATGTAGTCAAAGTTGAATACATTTGAATCGATTGATATGGCACTTTGTAACATTTTATGTTGTCTAAAGGAATATCAATTTTCTTTACGTCCTCCCATCTGCTAAAAATAATAAATTCAGGATGTAGACCAGCTTCTACAGCATCTTTGATAAAACGAACTCCTTCTACAAGTATTTGATCTTGCTTCTTTCTTCCTTTTTTAGTTTTCAGATTCATTATAAGAGAGCTATATTTTTGAAATAATATTTGTATACTTTAAACTGCAAATACTCATTATTTATGAAGTCACAGATTATAATACTTACGAAACTATTTTATCATTTTCATCTAGTTTTGTGTAAATCACCTTCTTATCTCTAATCATACCTTCCTCTTGGATATGTTGGTTACTTTTCTTTTTACTTTGAGACTTCTTTACTTTAGCTTTCTTCAAGTCAACTTTTTGAGAGTCAGTCTGAAATTGTTCATCATCCAAGTCATCTGAACTTTCAAATTCATTGTAGCCTCCATCTTTGCTTCTAGGAATGTTTACTTCCTCTAAATGAGCAAATTCTTTTTGATAATCTTGAGCTTTTTGTCTTATCGAGCGGGATTTTATTTTCTTTGGTTGCTTTGGAGCAATATTATTTACATTGACGTCAAAAAGTTCATCTTCGTTAACAATAGTTGCATGTCTAGGATGAAATCTACTGTAACCTCTCGTCTGAATGTTTAAAAGTGTTTCGCGGCTGACAGCATGAGTTATGCCACGCAAATTCCTCACAGTTAGTTGAAAACTTTTGAACATTTTTTTATAGTCAAGGATGAATGAATAAGTCCCTGAATTAATATTAATAATGAATTAATATTAATTCATTAATATTAATTAAATTGCTCTTTCCAAACATCCATTTAGGTTAGATTATTAAGAATGTGAATCGATTGATAGGTATGTTAGTTTCGTACCTACCGTACACTTGATGAATTTAACATCAGTATTATTCTCAATTAGCGATATTTACGAGAATCACATATTATTCACACAGTTCTAAGAATGAATTCTTTTACATGTATTGAAAACGTTCACTTCAAAATATACAAACTTACAATTGCCGACCGCATGTGCTTATACCACGTGACAAATCGGCATCCGCTCGTAACTCGCGCGTAAAATTTAATCGTTTTAAATAGTGATATTTTGAAGTTTCCTTAAGAACGTGATAAAATTTGTCCTAAATACGGATATCGTCATAAAACTGTTTTTATTCTAAAGTACATCAAATAGGTTTCAAATAATCCAAATTTTCTTTATTTCAAAAAAATCTCAATCACAGTCCCCACGAAGTAACGGTTTGCATGACATCTTACTTTTTGAAAAATTTTAGTTTGTCACGCTTTTCTGAGCGTTGCCGTGATCGAAAATCATCTTAGGAGAGCTTATTTAAGAAAATATTTAAATATTTAAAGAGCTTATTTAAAAAAACGAAGACGTTTAAATCTGTTTATCTTTTATTTGAAAACCAGATTTTCCAAAATGAGAAATTTCTTTTTCTAATAAAATTTGAAAATTCGAAATATGAAAAGATAATTTTTTTGAAAAATGACTCCGACCAGTCCAAAGCACAAATTCCAGCGCGATGGAAAGCTATATTATAAATAAAATATATACAAATGGTACAATATAGGATGATATATAAAACATATTGCAGCGGAGTACTAAATGGAAAAAGTTTCATAACGATATGATTATAATAGGCTACATTTTACACCACCGCCATTAAGAAAAATTTAAAAATCGTTATTAGACCTCCGCTAGTCACTTTAATTTGTGTTGAATTTTTTACACTATGCTTATTTAAGTTAATTATAAATATAATTTAACGATATTGATGGCCTTTATTAAAAACTATTTTAATCTTCATAAATACACTATAGCGAAATTCCAAATGTATAATAATTGCAGCAGATGCATTGAATTAAATGTAAGTAATTCATGTATAATAATTGATATACAGTGAATTACTCAAGTACTTTATTTATTAATAATTTTTCGGAGGAGTTGCATAAAATTGAAAGAAAACTTCATATTGTGTTTTTTACCAGCTATATTTAAGCTTTTTATTCAAATTTGTTATTTATCTTATTCAAAATAAACTGTAAAATGTCATTATAGCAATTTAGGTCATAAAATGAAAATATCAAGCTGAATAGCAAAGATGAATATTTGTAGCGCTTCATATATATTCATCAAAGGAATAGTTCTTTTTTCTTGCCAGATACTCTTAGAAAGATATTTTAAGAGCGGAATAGGGTGAGTGCACCAGTGCCTGACCACCTAGTATACGAATTTTAACTTTATAATTAATCAATTTCTATAATTTAAGAAAATAATTAGTTTGATACTACTGTATAGATTCTTTTAGAACCATTTGAACTTGTTTTGTTACATAAAAATATCAAATCTATTTATATTTAACACATTTTTTTTATTTAACACATTGTAAAAGTGGTCGGGTACTGGTACGTCAACCTTTTTCATTCAGACCATTAACCGACCATGAAACAAACGCAAATAATTGGACTTCTTTTTCTTTTCTTCGGTCGTATAAACTATCAAACCTGTGCTGCAGTATACGTTGAAAAAATATTGATATTACTTTTTTTCCTTTGGTATTTCAAAACATTATACAGCTTTAATGATCCCGTAGTTGACACATTGATTGCTATGATCGTCGGGAATCGGTACACTTATCTTATATCTATTCATGCATCAGTTGTGCATATTTTATTTGAGTTAATTATTTATTTTTATACATTTCTTATCAGACCCAATTCATACTCGCGCGGAATATAAATTGTGAAATATCGTCTGCAACAACTGCACTCGCATAGTCTATGGAAAATAACATAACCTTGTTCAGGTGATCAGCGGCTAAACGAATGTATCACGGAACAGTTTCCGTGGTTTAAGAATAAAACATTAGAAATCATATATAAACTCTGAAAAGATAGTTTATGAATAGCTTAGAATATCCTATTTGAAAGCCATTAACATGTTTTCTCGAACAATATTGTCTTGTCTTTGTCAAACAGGTGACTGATTCAATGTAAACTTTCAACTCTAGGAGAAACTAATTTAATTGTTTAGTTTTATTAATATATTTGAATGTTATTAGGTAATCCATCATGCACCAATCCTCTTGGAATTTCTGTACAAATGGCTGGACTTAGATATTTTCCTCCTCCACCAGTTTATGGTAAGTACCAATAGATGTGTTGTCAAAAAGTGTAACATTTTGTATTTTTATTTTTATTTATACTGATTTATTCTAATTTATTAATTGTTTTATTTAGGCTTGAAATGAGTTATTAAATGAAATTAAATGAATAATTAAAAGACCAATTTATTATAAAATTATCAATATGTATCAATACATGTATGCAATAAGTGTGATAAAGTGTGATTTATAATCTTTACATAGATTTGGAAATACCTCCTGATACACGAGGGAAAAAGCTGCCAATATATCCAAGAGTCCCAACATATCCTCCTACAATGAAACCATTTAAAATGCAAAAGAAACTGAAACTTATGAGGGGTGAAGAAACAGTTTTGAACAAACTCATACATAAACAGTATGGAGTTATAGTACGTGTTAATTATTTATCAAATGTATTTCCATTTAATTAGTATTATAGTTTAATTAATTTTCTCTAGGCATTGATTGGTGGTAGATTGAAATGGAATCATTTTGAAATGATGCGTTGGACTGTAAACAAATACTTGCCTGATAAGGCTTTTTCACTGTATAGAGTGGATCCACCGTGGCAACCTGTTACAAAGAAGGTATAATTTTGTGTAGCTATATTTATATGGTTTGAAAAATATTTTATTAGGTATACAACGCATAATGCGATTTAAAAAGTAAGTTAATAATATAGTACATTACGATACAAGTGCGGGAAAATAGATCCTTGTCTCGTGTGGCGTTTACGCCCGAGCGAAGCGGGGGTGGAAAGGTACACGAGACAAGAAATTCTTTCCCGAACATGTGCCGTACCATATTTTTTAATACGACGTGTGGAAAGTGCGATTTTCAACGCACGTTTTTTGCCGAGCGTGCGAGAAAAGCGCACTTTCCGCACGGAGTGTTGAAAAATTACTTTCAAACACCTTCACTTTTAAAAGTACTATGTTAGAAATTTATTTGAAATTAATGAAAATAATTTATTTTTGAAGTGTATAGATGAAAATAGTTTATTTTTGAAGTGCATCGATGATAATAAACTTAATTTATTCTTAAATAGGGAGCTGGACAGCGAATGGGGGGTGGAAAAGGTGCAATTGATCATTATGTAACACCCATAAGAGCTAGAAGAGTTATATTAGAAGTTGGAGGGCCAGTAGAATATGATGAGGTGATTTATAATTTTTATCTTTATCATAACAAATTAAAAAAAACCATTACTGAAATCTTCATTTTTTAGGTAAAAAAAGCAATAGAATCAATTGCTAATATGTTACCATTCAAAGCCATGGCAGTTACTCAAGAATCATTAAACCAACTTCATGAAGATGAAAAGTATCTCGCAGATAACAATGAAAATCCATTCACTTTTAAATATATTATCCAAAACAATCTTGGTGGTTGTCACAACTGGATAAGTCCACTAGACAAATACTGGTATGGCAAACATAGATAGACAGATTTATACTTGTTTTTTTAAAAACATTATTGCGTTAATAAAAAATTATGACAAACTCAAAGTATAACTTCATAAATTACATCCTTTCAACTTCTATTTCATCAAATTCTTTTCATCACTAAATCTAATATTATTGAATAATTAACAAATAATTATTTAAAAAATGAATTAAAGTAATAAATGAAAAATTAAACTTATAATTCAATTAACATATAAATATGCTAATTAAACTACCTGCATGATGAATTTGAATGATATAGATAATTTTAACGAAAGTAAAAATGTTCGCTGATGCAATCGATCCAAAGATGTTATGTCCTATCAAATTATTTAACTCAATTAATATTTGACATAAATTGAATCCCTATAAGATATAAAAATTGAGATCTATTATATTTAACAGAAAGTGCCACTAGGAAAGGTTTGTAAATGAAACAATACCGTATGATACAATGACAATATTTTATATATCTTTGACGACGGTTCGGTGGTAACAACAGGTAAATACTACATATTGTACATTGAGTAGGCAATAGTTGTATCTTAATATTTAGTGACGATTCGAGTGACATCGACAACGACGACGACGAAGTCGATGGGCGACAGTTAAATGGTTAATGCGGGCGATACATCATTTACTAAAGTAGTAGCACAATGACAACGATGATGATCAATGACTCGTGTGAAGACTAAAAATTGTACTATTCAACGACAACGAAAAATTCAAAAAAGGAGGATAGAAGTAGTGAGAAGCGCAAGCATCGTCGTCGCTGTCTTCGACAAATTAATATTCTCAGAGCATTGTAATAGCATATCGATAATTGTTGCTATTTAGATTTATTGATTTTGTTTCATTATTTATTTTGTTCTCGCTTACTTGTATTAGGTATGCGCGCGACGAATCGCGACGGAGGAATGATTAAATTAGTCTTCTCTTGTTTTTTTAATTATTATCGTCTCGCTCGAGTTCCACATCTCGATATGCTGCTTATTAAGCTTCTTAATATTATTCTCTTTTTTTTCATAATATCAAAGAATCGAGCGTCGATACAAGAACACGGGGAAATTCGTACGCGACCTTTAAAGTGCTTTAATTTTCTTCTCTTCTTACCAGATAGCTTCAGGTCAACGAAGTAATTATCAAATTTATTTTGAGAATTTTTTAAAAATTAATATTTATTTTCAATGATAGATTCGTTTTCAAGTTATTTATCGATAATTACTTTGTCGGCTCGATATTATACGATCAAGAGCTTTTAAACACATATTTATTTGCGAGCAGATTTGTTTATGGATAAAATGAAAATTACATCTGTTTTTGCTACGTAAATTCATGTAACGATATGTCTTTTTTACTTTGTCAGGATATAATTCAAGGCTGTCAACGCTCACTGCCACTTTGCAGTTTCATTCTTTATATTTGTTCTTTTTTTATCTAATTTTCAGTGGAAAATACTTTCTCTCCACACAAGCGCTAAAATACAATTGTTTTGAAGGGATTATACCGTAGAATGAAATTCTCATTTGTATTCTTTACTCAATAAATCTTCCAATAAAATGATATATATTTAAAGTAATTATATTTACACTTCATATTTCATACTTTATACAAAAATATATTCCATCCAATGTAACTTTTATTCAAAATTTGTTGCAATGCAGGTAACGATAACATGAGGTAAGTCATAAATGAATAAAAATCATTTCCTTTTGTTTCTTTCAGATTTCACTGTACGGTAAATCCTTAAGAATAATCATTACTCATTGAGTAACATACGTAATCCGTAGTTTTTTTTAATCTTCATGTGACGAAAGATAAAAATAAAACAATACTCAATCAATTCTCGAAAATATACAATTACTTATCTAGTAATCATAATTAATACAGGCTAACGCAAGAAACTAATTACAGAAGGTCGCGGTACGTACAACTAAGCGAAAGGAGGATTCGTATTTTCTCATTTCATAAATATATAATAACGAGTTGTCGTACAACTTGCTACGATTAGCAGAAACATAAAGAGGCGCGACTACAACGACACTGTAATCTACCATTTAAGTTACTTATTCGCTTATTTCTACCTTTCGCTTTCTGCTCTCCCTTCATTTGTATCATTATCATTTAATATATGTATATGAAATCGCGCGGATAGGTGGACGGACAAATTGTCACGCCGCACACATGATACTTGCTGCTGCTGCTGCTTTTGCTGCGGGACTAGAGTCTCGTGTATGATATATAATATATAATTTATATAATTTTTTTCAACTATAGAAACGCATTTGTTTTATTTGTCTCTTGTGAAATTTGTAAGCGATGTGTTCTATATAGGCAGAAAACCGAACGTCTTCGGACTTCGTGCTGCTATTACTTCAAGCAAGTTCGAGCTTATTTTTAACTATTAGTCATATACAAATTAGTGGAAAATCGTGCGAAGGTCGGGTTGAACGTTTGTAAAATTATCGGAACAGCACTAAATCCAATGCCTATAAGGAACATTTAAGAAATACTACAGACAGAATATAACAAGTATAAGAATCTACGGGATATAAAATTAAACGAATATATTTATCAATTGTAACAATATCAACGCAAAATTCACAAATTCTTAGGGGCAAACAACACTAGTTTCATTCGTTTAATTCCGATCATGTGAGTGATGAAAACGGCACTCTTCAAAATGTACTCTTTTTCGCAAATTATGGCCACATACGAATAAGCTACTGCAATAAAATTGGTCGTTTGTAGAATAAAAATGTGTTACTAAATACACGCTTTCATGCTACAGTTTTCGATGAAAGTAGTTTTTAATTAAAATATTGATGCAAACTTTTCATCTCCTATATACGATTTCCTTAAAATTTACTTTCAACCATTGTTTTCGCAGAATCACTTAGTTAATTTATTTTTATGATTGAATAAATCGCTCAGACAAAAACATTATAGCATCTCGTTTTTCTTTTCAAGTAATACGTTGCAAACTATTATAAACAGCTTATTGGATAATCTCAATATTAAAGAGGTATTTGCAAGTACTCGATGAAATATCTAGAAGACTTGAAGATTTGTACAGAAAATACTAAAGTCAGTGCGTGAAAAAACATTACGTAGAAAGACTATTGAGACATTTACAACTCACAGGTGGCATGCTAACGATATGCAAAATGAGCTTACGTAGAGCGAAAATTCAATACGTAATTCGGGGATTCAATTATCGCCGTCACCAGCTCCTGACACTTTAGACTTTTAGACATTTTCCGCTGTATACTTATGCGTATATTTACGACTATTTATTCGTCTCACTCGTATATTATCATTGCGCAAAAATAATCAACTCTGGGAAGGATAGCGGGTCAATATATATTTATAATAATGCTTTGCTCTATCTAACTGTTATTTTCGTTTTCCCGTCAACCGCTTTTATCGTAGATTATGATACATCAGTTCTACGATTATTGTTATCATTTCTACTGTTTTTATTCTTACGTGTTTCGCGTTATCGACTTCGTTGAATTTTACAAAAACAAACTCATTCTCCTGATTTAAACGTGCATCTTTACTTCTAACGTACTGAGTTTAATTTACGGTGCAAAAACGCGCTTACAGGTATCAATACCTTGGCAAAATTATTTTCCTTTTTGAGAAATCATAATAAGCATGAAATAAGATATGATCGTAATGTATGCTTAGAGATAAACACAAATAACTATAAGTGGAAAATATTTTATGTGAAAAATTCAATATCGTAAGTAGTGCGGAAGACATATTTTTCAAGTAATTAACTAGTAATGCAGTTCGTCTAAACGCAAACATTCCAGTTACAAAAGTATTTTTTTTAATACATACAGCAGATAATATTGAAGTTTCAAATTATTAGAGTTGGCTAATTGAGAATTAGTTTCATTTTTTTAGAACACGTTGCTGCGATAAGATTAAATATATCAATTTTGGCGTATTCTCTCATAAACTTGCTTGCAAAGTACGTGAGCGTAGCATGCAAAATAGTTATGTACACAGTCTTGTAAAGAAAAAATTTATACCACATTGCATGGTAGATTATATAATATATATGAGTAATACACTATCATCGAACGAGTGTTACATGCATTTTAAAGGTATAGCCACCCTTGTAACTGACAAATTTAGACTATTGTTTTAAAAAAGAAATTTTAAGTTATAGTAAAACATGTTTCTTTCAAAAAGCGGCATCATCTTGAAAGGTTTATTTATTATTTGTTTTAACAGAATGAACGGCAGTGCAGTTCCGATTGAGCATTGCACAGCATTGCTCAACCTCATATAAATCGAGTATAATGTTTCTTGATACACTTTGAATATCTTTCAATCAAAATCTTCCGATCAACATTATCAGACACAGAATATGGCACTTTTGACCAAAGTGTAAATAAAATGACTGATTGAATGACTACACAATAAAATTATTTGTATACTCAACTCGCTTTAACTGATTTCGCAATTTTGATCTGTAAATTTCATTGTGGTTGAAAAAATACTACATTTCTGTGGTTACATCTGTCTAGTGCACGAGCCCCTTGTTGTATTGTATTTACTGCATGATGTAATCCAACAAAAAGAAATTTTTCTACACTATTTTTCTTTCAATACTGTCATGTATGTCATCATATGTTATGTGTAGATAAAACAAAATATTAAAACATATAAAGGCTAGAAAGAACATCAAAACTAAATTATTGCTTTTCGAATAAAACAAATAAATAATTATAGCAGTAGAGACCCGTAGATAAAAATATGACTGTGTATTTGCTATAGAGACAGAAAAATTTCTTGATAAATTGAAATCTTGATAATTGAATTTTAACCGACATCAACGTCGACCTAAATTTGAACTATAACTTATAGTACACAAGTGATCCACGTCATTTGTTACGATTTCGAGTCATTCTTATAGCAACGTCAATGTGAAAAAGTTTACGCTTCTTTATGCCTCGACCTCCATTATATAAATCGTAGACTTGATTCATACGTATTGAGTTGTATTTAACATTAGCACGCTACAAGTTTTCTTTCTTTTTTTAATATTATAACCTTAATTATGCGCAGCTGCATTAAAATTCAAATTATATATACATTATCAATATTTATTAATACAATCATATCAATCGCTCTCGATAGAAGCAGCAGCTAGTAACCTCTTTATCAAGATAAAATATACACAAATAAATAAATAAGCTACTGAATAAAGTGTATAAAAAACATAGTGAGTAAACTTGGTGATATTAAACTGATACAGCATAGAAGTTTGACAAAATATTGTACAACAATACAACAATAAAAAAAATAATAAACAACGATAAAAATAATAGAAGTTGTTTATGTTATTTGTGCTAATTTGAACTGACTCAAGTTAAAATTTTTTTCTTCTTTACAAAAGATCTTAAATCTTAGTTTATAGTATAGCATTATGGTATTATAGACATGCGCTTGAGAAAGAAATACTTCTTCATAAAAAAGCAATACCCACTCAGTCTGTCTCGGTTAGCATTTTACATGTGTATATGTGTATATGTGTGTGTGTGTGAGTGTGTGTATATATATATATATATATATATACACACTTATTTGCGTTGAGAGCGTGAGCATGCAATTAAATGCGCGTGTGTGTTTACGTGTGTCATGTGAAATCTTCTCGATGCAAATACTACGTTTATTCATTGATTCTTCCTTATCGTTTAAAATTTCCTTTTTCTTCTTCTTTATGCATGGCGCTATCAAAGCTGACTAGAATAATAATTAACACGCGACAGTTGAATTAGCCACTCAGCTGCCGTTCGATTCACCGCGACTCGTTTTAAACTTTTTTTTATTGCTCACTCTCGCATCAAGAAATATATTCTCAAGGAACGCCTTCCGTTGTGCTCGCACTCAAATCAAAAACGTTTTTCATTTTCTGCTTTTTTCTTTTTTTTGGTCACGTTTAAACGTGTTTTTCTTTAAGTTTCGTTAAGAGTTTTGGTCAGAATTACAGCGTGTGCAACCGGAAGAGTACACGGGACCGTGAGTATATCTCCTTAATGCTTTATACACTAATTCCATCTCACACTGGTTTTCTAAAGCACAAAGCACAAAAAATCACACTCTCTTTATGTCAAAAGTGCATCACTACCAAAAGTAACTGCAATGCAGACATAAGACGCCAATCTTTGAAACTATTTACAAAAAATTTCTCTGTCTGCTAAAACTCGATATTTGCTAATTGATGCGCGAACGAACCAAACAAAAACCAATTCCTTCGAATAAAAATAATTAGAGAGATAATCACTGGCTTAAAAAAACCTCCAAATCAAAAGTGTTTGTAAGAGACTTTACATTTAAGAGAGCATCGGACGAGGGATACAGACGCAGAACGTACACGGAGGTGGAAAAATAAATTGGTTGTTTGACGTTAGCTTATAAAATCAAGAGACATCTTATAAATAATTCTTTCGGATTAGGCACAAGCCTTTGACAAGCTAATGGCAAACAATCAAGCGATTTTCACAGTTGTGCCCACGCTCGGCGCTAATGTGCGACGTCCGACGTCTTATGCAGAGAGTGCCTAAGGCAAACGAGTCTACACGGCCTCCGTGTCCGGCTGCCAGGGCTGCGTCGAGCTGAAGAATAAGCGTAGACTGCTGCGTTTGCGGTGGCGGCTGCTTGTGGGGCTGCCATCCCCCCTGCCCTAGGCGTTCGACTCTTTCAAGTTCTCGAAATACTGCATTATCTGATTGTAATCCATGCCGAGATTGAGATCGTCGAGGGCCGCACCGGATGCGGCTGACGTCGATTTCTGCTGCTGCTCCTCGGACGCTTGATCGTCGTGAGACGAGTTGGAGGATGACGACGAGAACATTGGGTTGCCAACTACCGTGGCACGCTTAATCTCCCGCGACCGACCTCGCTTGTGGCGGATTTCCGGATCTTTGTTGCGCACCTGCTAAAAGAAGAAAAATCCGATTGATACATTGGCTAATTGATGAGTTTTATTTTCACGTGCATCGGAAGCATGTTTTATGACTTATAGAACTATCTTATCAGAAAAACTGTCTAATGCCTGAAGATGACGGTAAAAAAAAACAAAATTCGATATAGCGGATCTGAGATTACATCTATGAATACTAAAATGCATTTGTATGTTATACATCGGGCCCTCACATCAAATTATTTGTCATTTTGAAATAAGAATGACTTATGCGCTACAACGACTGCATTCATCATGATTAACAGCAATGAATGTTTTTGGCGATCGTCTAAGTGGCAAATGTAGTGAACGATGAATTCTCATTATTGGGGCTGCATATAAATTTACTTTTTGTACTTGAACGATCTCGTACGGCGACTCGTTTACAATTCGTCATTCCCTCTCTAAATTTGGGTTACGATTTAACTCTTTCCTGCGCAAATATCGTCTATCTAATTCCTCGTCCCACGTTTTGGTGCTTGTCCAGCCGTATGCCGACTTCATGGCCCACTGCAAATAATACAGTAGCTTGATGTTTCTCCAAGCCAAGCACTTGCGACGATTTGCCGCCCAACTAATTTCCAGCGCCACTTACGCACATACTTGAGAGATCAGTGGCTCGTCGAGCTTTGCGCGAGAGTAACGGAGCTATCACTGAATGACTACTTACCACTAGGAAATCATCGTTATCATTGTCGGCGACCTTAGAAAAGTCGTGAACCGGCGCGGCCGAGCCTGCAGACGAGGAGGCGTTGTTACTGCCGGCCTTCGAGCGACTTGATTTTCGATGGTGGTGATGCAATTTGCCAGACTCGCCGTGTCGCCTGCTCACGTGCTCGCCGCTGCTGTTCGCTCGCTGATGATGATGACGACGCTTTGGTGTTTCGGGATTCCGGGCCATTGCGCCGGTGTTGCGGTGCGGCGGCACAGGTGGCTTGTAATCCTCGTTGCCGTTGTCGTTGCCGTTGCTGCTTGCCAGCGATGGTTTGTGCGGTGGCAGCGGTGGGGGTACGTTGTTATTGCTGACAATTTCATCGTTTCAATAAAATTCGGTTGGCAAAATAAGCTTGGAGGTGTTTGATAATTATAAGTTGCGACTGAAGCGCGTTCGGCAATTTTCGGGAGTCAAATTTTATATTACAATCACACACAGTCGAGTCGAAGTTTATCTCGACATGCCACTCGAGTAATTGAAAAAGTTTTTTGTTTTAATTCATTCGCACTTTTCATTCATGCGCCAGCACAATATTAAAACTTTGAAATGTGAACAGATTATTCGGTGAAAAGGCTTCTCGTCGTAAAAAATTAAAATTCGGGAAAAAACAAAGGAAGAAAATCATACTAACTCGTTTCGTTGCGACGTCGGTGGTGTGAGCTGTTTGTTGCCGGGGTGGTGCTTCTTGGCGAAGCTTTTTGGCGTTCTGTCGCGCTTGCAGTAGGTGGTTGAGTCAATGGGCCCAGAGCGCTCATTCGAGGATGCGCTATTTGTGTGCAAGTTTGCCGACGGTAGCTCCACGTGATTTGGGTTGTCGAAACTCGTTGCCAGGTCCATCGTCTCGTCTTCCGGCTCGGTTGCCAGCGGATTGCTCGTAACTCGGACCTTGCGTATCCGATTTTAAAGGAAATTTCGTTACGTTTCAACATTTTTTACATGTCGATGTGTTACGGAACTAAATTTTCTAAAAAATGAAGAAAACTGTAGTAGAAGATCCAAGCTTTTAGAAAAGCATCGTTAAATATTAAACTATACGCCGAAAATTTGAGCCGCGCCAACTTTTGAAATTCAATATTTGACACATGAAAGACAGGCGACAATCGAAAGTAATTATTTTATCGATTTAACGTTACATTATCTAAGATTGTCACAGTCGGTGCTCAGCACCCATCGAGTTCGGTCGTGTGTACGGGTGATTGACAACACAGTACAGGTGACGCACTTATAGTGATCGTCGCCGACGGGCGAGTGAGTGTGTGCTCAAGAGTACACGCTTTCTCATAATGGCCTTCAACATCGAGAGCCCAGTTTCTACCTCAATTTCTACAAACAAAGTTACAGTCAACAGTGAATCGAACAACCCACTCGAATCTTACGCTAGAGTTACTGCTAATAAAAGTCGTCCAACAAAATACGAAGGAATAACCATTGACGCAATCGAAGGTCTCACCTATGATGATTACGTTGACGGTTTGTCAACAATACTTCATGAAAGTCATATAAGAGTTCTATCACATTACCATTCTAAAAAACTTCTAATTTTTCTATCAAGTAAAGAATTAGTTAATAAAGTGAAAAATAAATCATTTAAAATTAAAGATCATACTCTTACAATCAGATCATATGTAAACAACAATAAACGCGTAGTTATCTCAAACGTGTTGCCTTTCATACCGGATGAATTAATAGTTAAAACGCTAGAAGAAAAAAACATTAAAATAAAATCGCCGATAACCGACATCAAAGCTAGCTTTTCGAAGCCAAATAGAACACATATATTATCGCTCAGAAGACAGGTCTATATAAGAGAAGAAGACATAAACAGCCTTCCAGAAAGCATACAAGTAAGCTTTGAGGATATAACATACAGACTTTTCCTCTCTACAGGTTCAACTCTATGCTTCATTTGTAAACAAACGGGTCACGTCGCGAAAATGTGTACGCAGATTGATTTAAGAGCTCAGATTCGTCCCAGTATAGAAAATACCGACAACTCATCAATACCAATCGTCACAGATATTATTAACAACTCGACCAGTAAACCCACAGATATACTGAGAGAGATAGAAAGTTCCAAATTATCTCTCAACGTACCGCCAAACGAAGTAAATAGCAACAAAAGAGCCCTGTCAGATACTGCCAGCTCCAAATCTCTAGATGGAACTGTTAGTGATTCAACCCAACAAATTAATGACGCCGATGGTTTTATTAAACCAAAAAAACTAATCAAAGTTGAAAAAAGACTTAAGAAGATACGTAAAATCACAGAAGAAAAAAGGCAAAAAACTTTAGAAAATCTGCAATTAGCCTTAAACCCGGCCGCTGAAATATTTACTAGTTCCAATAATTTGCCAATAGATTTTGCAACTTTTTGTAACTTCATTAAAAGTTACAATAATATAGCTGACCTGAAAGTAGAAGCAAAAAAAATAGTTAATGACATCTCAGTTTTACCCGCTATAATTGAAAAAGCATACGATTCAGTTTCTCACTCACCAACCAAAACTAGACTAACAAAAGTTAAAAATAAAATCAATCAAATTATAAATTCAACAGAACAACTTTCTAGTGAAATTTCAGAAACAGAAGAAGAAGATGAAGATATGTACATAGATCAAAAAGACAACTACGAACCTCAAACATCAGTACCTAAATCTTAACTCTAATAATGATCCAACACGCTAAAGACTTAAAAATACTCTTTTGGAACGCTCGAAGTATTTATAAACACACGTCTGAACTACCTAAAATACTTAACGACGAAGAAAACAAAATAGACATTTTTATATGCGTCGAATCATGGTTAAAAACACCACCAACTGACCAAACAATAGAAGAAGTACTCAAAATATCTGGTTTTAAAGCATATAATAAAGATAGAGAAGAAGAAAGAGGAGGTGGTATTCTTTTTCTTGTCAGAAACCACCTAACCGCAGACTTTATTCAAATTAACGATCCTAACGAGGATAAATACGAAATAGCTGGAATTCAAGTCCATAACACTACTCCAAAATTAGACATTTTAGCTGTTTACCGTTCACCTTCCGGTAATCAGTCTCTCTCACAGGAAGTATGGGATAACTTGGTTAATAACATCAGAGATGATTCATACTGTCTGTTCACTGGAGACTTCAACGTGCATCACCTATATTGGAACTGTGAACACAATGATGCCAACGGCTCACGTTTTCTGAACTCCATCCAAAAAAAAAATCTAATTATTCATAATACTGAATCTAAGAGTAGAATAAATCCTAGTACAGGTAAAAAATCGAATCTAGACTTAATTCTCTCCACTCTCAATCTTACAGATAAAATTGCTAATCTTAGAGTATATGACGAAACATACGGATCAGACCACTTCCCAATAATTTTCACTCTTAAGGTTAACAAAACTTTTTATGAAAAAAAATCATTTAAAATTAAAACTAAAAAAACTGATTGGAAAGGATTCTATAATTTATTAGAAGAAAACTATGAACAATTTTTTGAAAATTCTTTTTGCGATCAAACCGCTGTCGGTAAATACGAACTTTTTATTAATTTAATTAGTAAAGCTATCATATCTAATACTCCCCAAATGCCCAAAAACTTCAAAAACAAAAATCGCTCTAATCCAGTAAAATGGTGGGACGAAGATTGTAATAGAGCACGAAGAATACGAAAAGCTGCTTTTAAAAAATGGTGCTATACCAAAAAAGAAGAAGATTATATTAATTACAAAAAACAAAACGCTCTCGCTAAAAGAATTTTCAAACACAAAAAAAGAGAATGTTACAAAAACTTTGTAGAAAAAATTAACCTTACAACCAATAAAACATATGTCTGGAATACTATGAAAACCTTCAAAAATAAATATGTAAAAGTAAAATCTCCCAGCAATATTGACGACACAAATAGAGACAAAGTAGAAATAGCGTTAAACAAAATTAGTCCGCCATGGGCCGAAACAAATCCTGATTGGCTCCCTAAATGTGAGAAAAACGAGTTTTTCAGTACACCTTTCCAGTTTACAGAATTTAATCTAGCACTTGATTCTAGAGACAATAGTTCTTCTCCAGGCCTCGACGGAGTTGATTACGAAATTCTAAAAAAATTACCAATAAAATATAAACTCATACTACTAGATATCTTTAACGAAATATTTGCAAAAAGTGAATTCCCACCTGCTTGGAAAAACTGTTTTGTATCCTTTATCAAAAAACCAGATGGTGAAAGTTTTCGCCCAATCACCTTATCTTCCTGTACATGTAAACTTTTTGAAATAATCATAAAAAATAGACTGCAGTGGTGGTTAGAAAGCAATAACTTATTACCAGAGACCCAATCAGGATTTCGAAAAGGTCAATCATGCCATGATAATCTTACGCAGGTAACTCTAAATATTGAAGAAGGGTTTAAAAAGTATCAGCATTGTCTTGCTGCCTACATAGACATAACTAACGCATATGACAATGTCGTTGGAGAGATTTTACTTCAAATACTAGCAGACATAAAGTGTCCAATTCAGGTAATAAAACTAGCAAAATACCTTAATTACGAAAGGCTTATTTATACTAATCTAAACACAGATGTTCATAGAAAAGTTTATAAAGGCGTACCCCAAGGTGGACCCCTTAGTCCCCTCCTGTTCAATCTGTATATAGCCAAAATTACCAAAAATATTCCAAAGTCTGTTATTATTTCTAAATATGCAGACGATATTATGTTATTAATCAAAAGAAAAAGTTTAAAATCCTGTACCTCGCTCATGCAAAAAAGTTTAAAAATAATTAAAAATAATCTATACGAAATAGGTCTGGAAATATCGATAAAAAAAACTGCTCTAATTCATTTTAACAATCAAAAAATCGAACCAGGAAATGTTACTATTGAGCTCGACGATGATATTCTTATTTCACAAGAATATGCACGATATCTTGGTATAATATTCGACTATCAATTATCTTTTCGACACCAGATTGAAAATGTAAAAAATAAATCTCTTAAAGCTCTCAATGTTATTAAATTTGTGCGAGGAACTTGGTGGGGTGCGGACCCCAGCACTCTTCTCACTGTATACAAATCATACGTTAGATCAATTATTGATTTTGCATCTTTCATATACCTTTCAAAAAGAGCAAATGATATTAATATACTTGAACGCATCCAATATGCAGCAATTCGTCTCGCCCTCGGTTTCAGAATTAGTACCCCCACCAATATCCTCACAGCCGAGTCCAAACTTATGTACATCAAAGACAGATCCAAGTATCTATGTATGAACTACTTATCCAAAGTAATATCTAACTCAAGCCTACCTGTAAGTAAAACTATCAACAGAGTATATTACTATTTTAAAAAATATAAAAAGAAAAGTCTACTTCTTAACTGCATAGATGATATCAATCCGTTAAAAACAACTGTCGAAATCAAATCTAAATTCAACAGTTTTCTGACTGACTATAATGTAATTACATCCGCCATTGATATAGACACCGAATTTGGAAAGCTACTCAAAAATTCTCATAATTGCAACAACTTAATTAATTCATACTTACAAGAAAAAAAAGCAGTACCCATATACACCGATGGTAGTAAAAATGTAGATGCCATATCAGTTGGAGCAGCCTGCCTCTCTAGCCAGTTAAATGTATCAACAAAAATAAGCATCCACAAAATTGCATCTATTTATACGCAGAAAGCCTAGCAATAAAAGTCGCACTCAATATAGCACTAAAAAATACCGATAAAAATATTGTCATTCTCACTGATTCCCGTAGTGTACTAGAAAAACTCAAACATCTGAACTTCGAAATCAGAACAAATTCATTTATCTATGAGATAAAAAAAAAGGT